CAGGCTGGCTTCCCATTGGTCCATGGCAGAAGCCCCGCCAGGCTCGATTCCGTCGAAGCTGATCGAGGTGGGCCCGACGGGAATCTGAGTGGGCAGCGACCATCGGACGTGGAGAGCGACTTCCTATTTATTATTGGGTGTCAAAAATCGGCAACGTCCGACGATGCTAAATTGGGTTAGGAGGGGTTATCTGAGGCAAGGGTCTGCCTGACCCACCTCCACTCTTCAACAAAGATTGTCCATCATCCGCACTTCTGGAGGGGTGAAAATCTCTGTAAAGCACACTCATAAGGTAACAAGTCTTTGCCAAGGCTCGGCTCTAAGAGCTCAGGCCATACAAGGAAAATAGGCAATCATCGTCTTATCGATCTTTGAGTGACTGTTGCCTGCTCATGAACGTCAGCCTTCGCTAATAGACGGTGATGGCGATGCCTGCCCAGGCAGGATCCTGTCTTGGGCGACAGCCACATGAAATCATCGATTGCTGATCAAACAGGGATTATCCCTTTGGTACGAAAACGTGGTGATGCTCCTGTATTACAGTGCATGAGACTACACATGGTGTCGGGTGGGGAAATGCCTACTAGAGCATGGACAGTAGTCACAGTACATATGCAGGGGGTCCCTGAATGAAAATGACTCGAAAAGGCGAAACAATCGACAGGATGATCAGCTGATGCAATGAATTTAGCACTGATAATCCCATGTCGCTGTCTACAGCACTTTGAGTCTCGACGATTCCTTGCCAGTCTACTCTAGGCAATTGATATTCTAGAGTCGAAGCAAGAATATAATTGCTCAAGCTATCGGCTCATGAGCCTCCCCATTGGGCAGTGAGTTAGCTGCGAGCCTGCGCCTTCCCCATGACCATGGTCCCGGCCCGCAACCCCGAATAGCTCTGATAGTCCAGGATAGCCTCTCTGCATTTCCCAGCATGACCTTGTTTTGTAGGTACCTGTGAGCAGCGGATATTTCGTTCTGAAATAACCTTCCTTGGCTGTTCTTTTCATCCTTCGCAAAGCCTTTTTAATCCTTCTGTGGAACACCAGAGAAATGCCACTAAACCACGGAAATTCGAGGTAATACCCTTGTATATGGCGGAAGAATCCCCGTCTCGATTAGACATGGGTCGAGCAGCCGGCCAGATGTTTCATCCGGCGGCCTGGGAATACCTTGTCCCACACAAGGCGTGAAATGGTCTTGGCGTCTGCGTCTCAAGGCTGAAACTGTGTTACATTCCAGCCAGAGTCCAGTGACTACTTACAGTATTCTGTGGAGTACTACTCTGTAGGGTATATCCTGTTATCGTCTTCGGCTATTCAGCCTCATGCACATATACGTGGACTTGCAAGGTAGATTTCTCTTTAGTTCCATGTCACTCTGGTTTTGTAAATGCAAATATATGTATCATATGCCCAGAATCCAGAAGAGTGTGATCAAGATAGACCCCACTCGTGGACTTCACTGGTTTGCCCAACGCTCAGCCGCGATGACCCGGTGTGCTGGGATAACTCAGGCACGAGCTGCACAAAACAGTATTCTTCAAACTTTCCTTAGCTAAAAGAAGTATTTCCGGTAATAGCAGCAAAGGTTGAGGCCTGCAGAGCTCCCATCTCCACCTGCCAATGCTAAATAGATTGTTTGTACGGCGGACGGGTGCTAAAGAAGTCCGTTCATCGAGAACTAGCGTCATGATTCCTTAACTGGTTAGTACCTCATACTTTAGAGCACCACAGCCTCAGCCTAGCTCACTTTAGTTGACTGGGGAGCTGGACGAGATTATTGGGTGACCCGCGCATTGCAATTGACGGTTTTTAGCCTTACAGGGTTTAGTGCCTTTACCACCACTTGACAATGTAATTTCTCTTGTTTGTTGATTGTTCCTTGCCATGCCTGATGACTGCGGATTTTGATATACCTTGAGTAGAGTCTCTACTCTGTACTACTGCTTCGTGCAGTTTGACAGTCGATGTATCATTACTTTACTTTGACCCTGCAATGTTGATTCGACAGATATTTTTGACAACGTTGAACGACCAGCAGGTCGGAATCTGACCTGTCCGTCACTTGAGATGTGGAGCCAACGTGGCTTCTCTCGGCTTGAAGCGGCAGTTTCGTTCTGCCAGTTTAAGGGAACACGGCGGCCCAACTTCAGAAGCAGCCGATGGCCGAGAACGAGACAATCAGAGCAAGCTTTAAGCTTACCGTTTTCCGAATTTGAAGGTTAATTGCACTTGATAGTTGGGATCTTCGAAAGCAGTTAAGGTGACTGTACTGCTCGTAACAGATAGTTAGCACATAGCATATAGCTAGTCTGGCCATCAGTTCATCATCAGCAGAATCAATTAGTAGTCTAATTGTGATAGACACTCAAAGTTGGATCAAACCAATCAAGAGTTAAGTAAGCGGTGCTAGCCTGTCAACCGTCAGCATTCAGCAACCCCTTGGCATTAAACTTAGACTCAATTTGGATACAATGAACGAGAAATGGCCATTTTAACCTGTCTCTCCCGTTCATCGTCCACGCTGCCGAATCGGCGGCAGGCGCCTACCCGAGACAAGAAAAGGGGTAGTCGATTAGCCTGACTGTACGGACTATGTACGTAGTGTGTCTGTGGAGCGAGGGTGATGTTCATCCTGTTCGCTTAAAAGTCAGTTCATTGAAGTTTCTGACCCTCAGGGTAATATTCAATACGGCGAGAGTAGTTGCTAACATTCCAGAGCCACTGCTGAACCATGTGAGGTTGTCCGCGAAGTGACGAATGACAAGCAAACTGGTTGAGCTGTCTGAAAGGATCTCGCTGCCCATCTAGCTAATTGTAAAGCTAACCGAATGCAGTTAGTCAGAGAAAATAGTACCATGGGCAGCATTTTCCCCAGCCAATGTCTGTCTCTCTCCCAAAATCCATAAAGGGCAGTTCAATAATGATGGAGACCTATTCCGTGATTGTCACAGATGCTCCAGAGTTGAGCAAATTGGGTGTTTTCCTGGATCAAGAAGGATCTAGAGATCCGGCAGACCCTGCCCAGACTCCGACAGAACATGGTAGATGTCAAATTTAAGCAGATAATCGTCGATAACCAGGTTCCCAAAACGGCGATATCATACTTGTCGTTTGGAAAGTGATTTCTTTTCTTTTTCTTTCGCCCCTTTTCTTGAATCATTGTAACAAGGATGCAGCCCATCCTGCTCCAGGGATAACTGACAGCTCCATGACGAATGATCTCTGGCACTCTACAGTACTGGACTTTGGTAATCTCAGACATCTGACGCCCTACACCTTGCCTGTTCTGCTCGCCGACAGTCCTTGTGGATAGTGGAGATAAACACCTTTTGCAGAGTCCATCATATATTCGGGCCTCGGTCTCGGAAAGCGCTACAGGCGACAGTGCCTACAGCAAGTTCGGACGAAACTTTGATTATGGCCCGTCATATTTGACCGCCCTTAGGTGCTATCTTCCGCGGTTTCTAAATCCATAAACAGTAAAGTAATTATTTGTTGTGGTGGTGATTCTGCCATGTGGTGCAACCGGTTGGAGGGGGGGAAGAAAAAAGATAATTCGATACTTCGGGCCCAATAGAATGCTGGTTGGGGCTAGGTTCAAGCTACCCAGACTAACCCCTCTTCCAGCTGAACTTACAGGTGCTATCAGAGTCCATTTTGTACCCTTGGACGTATTTTTGCATCCAGCCGTAGAATTCTTTTCTTTTTCTCTTATTTATTTTTATTTTCCCTTATCACATCTATTTTATTTAGCCCTTACATTCTTCAGCAAATTGATATCAGACAAAAGGAATTGCTTCCCATCATTGCTCCCAGAAGGAGACACTCAAGCCAAGCATCATCTCATCCGTCCAACCACCATTCTCCCTGACAAAGTACATAGGAGACTTGATCTTTACTGGTGTCCGCTAATATTCCTCACCTGCAGTAGTGGTATGCAGAGGTGTATGCTCTTTCGCAGTCTGTAAATCTGTAAGTCTGTAACTGAAACCTGAATGATGAAGGTTGCTCAATCTTCTGGGCCCCCACAACGACGTCCTGAACCGTTTACTCTTTTCGTCTTGGTGGCAGATGGTTCCATGTATCTTCGATCTCTCGGACTGGAATCCATTCATCAGTCCAAACGATCAGCATCTGACCGGTCCTCTGCCGTGGCGTTCGAGCATCTCGGCGTCCCAATCTTCAAGCAGTGGGCTAGTCTTGATCTATCTCGTTTCCCTATTTTCATTATGATGGTCCTTCATTTTTCGATTATTTTATTTATTGTTTACTAAAATTATTATTATTTTGATCTCCTCGTCTATTTTACTAATCCCTGCCTATCGACGTAGCTACTTTATTTCGGTTTTAATAGTAGTTTGCTTTCTTTTTCCTGTCGTGGATTTTTCTTTTCCACACGACCGTTCACCTCTTCCTAAAGTGCTCAACGACTGAGAAAGGGAGAAGAGTGTGACTAAAAAGAACGGTGGCTGCATTTTCAAAACCGCCCTGATTTCTGACTGACTGATTTAATCCTCCGTTGCTCCTGTTCCTGTCACTCTCGCTTGATCATCTCCTCTAATATCCATCCTCCTTACTCCATACTGGTTCAAAACGCGAACCCGACCCCAAGGTTGTTGCCGTTTTCTCGTATTCTCCACGTGCATCTGCTCTATATCTTCATTCCTCCACCTGGGGCTTGCGGCTCGAGGTTATTTTTGGAGTCTTCTCATTTAACCTTGTCCCGGATCGACTATATACTTCCCCTCCGTCGTTTCATCGGCCTTTATTCTCGTCCTTGCTCCAAGCGTCCGACGCCCCAACGCCAGAGCGAGAAGACAGACTTACTTATACTTTGTCCATTGTCCATCCCACTTATAATCTTCCTTCCTTTTCACTTGCCAAAAATTCTGTCCACTGTACATCATCAGCTGGCTGTCCTTGGTAGCCTTCTTCTTAGGACACCATCCTCAAGCTCAACATCTATACTCCCCTCCTCCATCCTCACTAGTTACAATGGCCGGTCCTGGTGGTGGCCCTCCTCGCAAGAGCCATACCAAGTCGAGGAATGGCTGTGCGACATGCAAGAGACGTCATATTAGATGCGATGAGACCTTCCCACAATGGTAACGCACGCTGGCTACTGTGTATGCTGTACGTTGCTAATTCCTGAGTAGTCGAAACTGCACCAAGCACAATTGCCGTTGCGACTACATGGATGTTGCTCTTGCACGTGAGCAATCCAACAAGGCCCGCAAAGCCCCCGACCTGCTCATGTCACCAGAGATCGAGATGGAGATTGAGAACTGGCACGTCACGGGAGTGCCTCCCTTCCCAGAACTGATGCACTACCCTCGAAATGCATGGTACAAGCTGTTCCGGTCAGACTTGCGTTTGATCCATCATATCATCGGACTGTCCATCGATCTTCATCGCCGCGGTTTCGGAGAGTGTACCATCTGGGCTCAGAAGATGCCACTGTAAGGTCTTCTTGATGAGAATGAGCAGAAGCGTTTCTAACGATCTTCATAAGCTTTCTGTCCCTTGCTCTGTCCAACGACTTCGTGATGAGCTCGATCCTGACCCTTTCGGCTTCCCACCTTGCCTGGATCACACGGAATCAAGAGACCAAGCAGCTGGCATATCATCATCGCGGTATCGCAATCAAGGGTCTGCACAAGGCCATTGGGACATTCTCAAAGGAGAACTCCGAGGCCATCCTGGCTTCATCTATTTTGCTCTCCTGGCAAGCATCTGATTGGCAAACGTGGGCATCCGTACAGCAAGGTCTTACTACGGTGAGTTGGCATACTGGCCGAATTATCTCGGGGGCTACGAAAACTAACTGGAACAAGGTCTTGAACGCGATGCACCCAATCTGGAAGCACGAGTCCGAATTAGCCGTCCTTCTCGAGAACCAAAGGTATCTGGGATGCACAAACTCCCCAGTGATGACAGGATACCGCTTTCAGGATGCCGACCTGGCCAGCCTCGACCAGACTATTGTGGCCCTCCAGAGTGTACAGAAGCGGGTCGTTCACAACCACGAGTATTACACTCGGATTGGAGAGCTGCTCGACTTTGTACGCAACTTTCAGATGGATCTTCTGTCACAGACACCCGAGCAAGCATTCGAGCGTGTCCAACCGTTACGCAGATGGTTGTTCTGGCTCCCCGCCGCCATGCTCCGTGGTGGTGATGCAGATATTGGTGCTCTGGCTATTCTTGCACAGTTTTACGCCGTTGGAGTCGCCTTGGACAGCTTATTTCCTGATATGGGGGGTGCCTACCTAGGCCCGCTGTCAGTCGGACCTGTGGAGGAGATCTACCGGATTATCGTGACCAGGAGTACAGCAGATCCCTTCAGTCCTGAACTACAACTTGCCATGAGTCTCATGGACCTACCTCGGCACATCGTTGCTAGGTACAAGAGCCGTCTTCAGTGGTCACCGCGACATTCCCTCGATCACTGCTCTCCCACACCCCCCAGCCCATACCGCAACTACCACGACTACCGCCTCGCATCTTCATCCTCGCCCTCTGCGACCTCGGCCACCTATGCACCTTATACGCCTCCTCTCGAATCTCCTCTCCATTCACCTCCTGCGGTGACGATCGCGAGCTCGCCATTCGACGCCGCAGGAGCTTATGTGACGGCTCCGATGTCACATACTCTGTACCCGCCATCGCCTCGACTCCTTTCCGAGCCCAGCTCGCTTCAGCATTCCCCTGCTTTTGCACCGCCTTACCTCGAGAACATGCTTTGCGGAGAGATCTCGCGGGCGGATGGAACCCTCGATCTCAGCATCGGACTCTACGACGATGCTCATTCGATGCACATTGCCGGGCTGACCGCGACGACGGAAGCCTGGAATTGAACCATCTGCACCTGATCTTTTCTTTTTTTACTTTCGCTTCTCTTCTACACATTTTTTCGCGGGCCGACTTATGAAAACGCATTTGATTGAGCATGGGCGAATAGAAGGCTACTTCTTTTTTTGTACACTTTTGAATTTACGACCGCTTTCTTTCTCTTCAGTCCTGGGATGGACCATTTTGTCGCGATTTGATTTGGCTTGCATATTTGTTGAACCTACATACCCACATTCGCTACGAATGACTTGTTTGATTTGCGGGACTACTTTATCCAGCATACAGGAGGAAAATGCGGGGAACGACGATGAAGCAAAGAATGGATGGATTTGATACCAAGATAGCAATATACCCTACTCTCGTTTGACTTGATTGGAGCATCGCATACAGTTTTGTTATAAAAATAGGATATGGATGGATGTATCATACTACAGCAGAGAAAATCCTAAGAAATTATTAGGGGAGCACGATACATCAATAATTCGAAACCTGTAACTAGGAGATGAAATCACAAGACTAAGCATGCAAGATGCCGATCTGGAAGTATCCCACATTCCCCAATCCCAGCCCGCACGTGTGGATGGATATTTTTAGAAGCACACATCGTCAACAGCTATCTACAACACCCTAACGCACGACAGTCAACTCACAACTCACCATTCGCTGCTCTAGATCAACTACCAAAGCATAAGAGTATGCTCAGGCCGTGCAAGAGCTGTGTCTGAAACTGAACCCGAAACTAGGAATACTCCATTGAATCATGACCCTACAATAGAGTCATTAAGTCAACCTCCTACAGTCATACTAGGTTAGCTCCACCTAAATTTGGCATCCCGATACCAACCGTCCCCATGTGCTTTGACCCTGATCATCAGTCAATACTCTTCAGCATTTTATCTGCTTCTTACTGGCTGTCAGAGGTGAAAAGCTAGTCTACCCTTTACTGAAACGGGGGGACCTCGTATTCGGTAGATGGTGCGAAGAACTTGCCTCGGAGTCTTGTGCCAGCCGATGACGATATGGTCTGTATCTGTGTCTGCAGTCTGCACTAGTCAACCTTACCAGTAGATAATCAGGTGGGTCAATTTGGGGTCTGTTTGCTTTATTTTTGTTTGAATTCGGTGTTTCAGATTTTCAACTTCGATAGATGTTCTCGGTTGAGGATGCTAGAGTTGAGGTAGGTGCTATCGGAGTCACTCCGCTCTTGTCCTTGCTTTTGTTGTTGTTCTATTCTTGTTCCAGCTGGTGTACTTTTTGCATTTCTACCAAAAAGGTACTTTACTGAATCTTCTTGATGGTTGGGTGACTTCCGGGTACCTGGCCCTCTGTGGAGCTGGGTGGTTGACATGGAACACTGGGAAGCGGGCAGTCTCCCAATGAGCAGTGGTGCTCTCATTGAAGGTATATCGAGATGTACTTGATACTCTTATGTAGGTTTGAGCAGACAGTCCTTCTTAGAGGTGATGAGCGATGCTCAATCATGGTAATAAAGACGTACGCAGGAGGTGTGTGGGCTTGGAACATCATCCTCGTGAAGTAGAGAAAGCCATGCATACCGGTTAGAAAAGACACATCTGCTTGTGTTACATGTTACGGACGAATTTCATCATACCAATGACTGCTTGTGATCAACTCACTGTGAGTCGGTTGTTGCAACGCAGTCAAAAAGTCGAGTGCCAAGCGGAGGATTGGAGCTTATTTGCATCCCAGCCAAACATGCCTCTTTGGGCTACCTTACGTAGGACCTGTATCCTTTCGCAGCTGCGAAAGTGACAATCGACTATCTATTATATCTTCACTCTATTTTCAAAACAGCTCTATTCTATCTGCTGGTCATTCTAAAGTAGTGACCGCTACTCAGATAATCACCTACATCCCTCTTACAGTCGCCCGGATTTCCCTGATTCCCTGACATGGCCGACGGCGGAGGCTGGAGCACGATCGAGTCGGATGAGGTATGTCCAACTCCTTCACACCAAACATAAACCTCAGTCTAACGCGTCCAGGGCGTCTTCACCTCCCTGATCGAGAATCTCGGCGTCCAAGACGTCCAGTTCGAGGAACTCATCTCCCTCGACGCAGACACAATCCGGTCCCTCAGGTAACCATGTCTCTCTCCTCCCCATGAACAACCGGACAAAACACTCACAATCTACTCTGTCCAGCCCCGTCTACGGCGTCATCTTCCTCTTCAAATGGATCCGCGAACCCCCCTCAACAAACACCACCCAACCCCTCGACGGCACCTTCGTCACCTCCCTCCCTGAGAACCTCTTCTTTGCCGGCCAAACCATCCAAAACGCCTGCGGCACCCAGGCCATCCTCTCCGTCATCCTAAACCAGGACTCCGCCTCATCAACACCCTACCCCATCAACATCGGCCCGGAGCTCGGCTCCTTCAAGGACTTCACGACAGGCTTCCCTCCAGACCTCCGCGGCGAGGCCCTCTCCAACTCGGAGATCATCCGCACCGCCCACAACGCCTTCGCGCGCGCCTCGCCCTTCGTCGATGAGACCGCGCGCACGGCCCAGGACGAGGAGGCAGATGTCTACCATTTTATTGCGTACACGCCTGTCAACGGGGTGCTGTATGAGCTTGATGGGCTGCAGCCGCATCCGATTAGCCATGGCGAGTGCGATGGCGAGACGTTCCCCGAGAAGGTGATCGAGGTTTTGCAGCGGCGCATTGCGCGGTATCCCGAGGGGGAGACGCGGTTTAACCTTATGGCGGTGGTGAGGGATTTGAGGGTCCGCGCCCGGGAGACGGGGGATGTGGAGCTGTTGGAGCGGGAGGCGAGGAAGAGGCGCGCGTGGGCGTGGGAGAATACCCTGCGCCGGTGGAACTTTGTAGGTTTCATCGGGGAGATGATTAAGGGGGTGGCCGGGATGAAGGAGAAGGAGGGGCCTGGGGCGTATGAGGCGTGGGTGGAGAAGGCGAAGCAGGAAACTCAGAAGAGATTGTTGAGTCGGAGAGGTTAACCATGAATGATTACTGCGTGCTCGATGGGTCGTACTTCATGATGGTCTCACGAGCAGATATGAGGATATAAGCACCATTGATACAGAAGCTAGCCGTCACGAAAAGAACGCTATGTACAGGTACATCGAATCATGAACAAGTCAACTGTGCAGTATCGCCGAAGGACCATGTAGCTTCGTATCATCAGTCATCAATCGTCATAACTATGAAAGGACAAAAATCCACTCCCTCCACCCCAGACTAGTACTCAATCATGCGAGATTTAATATGCTCCACCATCTGAGGCGGGAGCTCATCCTCGCGGACCAAATTCAGCGCAAGTAGATCCGCCCAGAAGAACATCGCCCGATCCTGCGCGTAGGCAAGATAGTCGAACTCGTCCGACTCGTCCACGTCCGCGTCGACTGCAGGTTGCGCTGGTGGCTCAGTAGCCGTCACTGCTGACCCGTTCGAATCACTGCTGTGACCGTTCCCATTAGACGCTTTCGCCGCTGCAGCCGCCACAATCCCCTCCTCCATACCGGGTACCTTGGCCTGTACGATTCCCCAGGCAACCCATTGAGCAGAGTTGAACACGCGCCAAATTCTCGTCTGCTTCATCAGGAAATGAAGCTCGGCCTCCAGGCTATCTTCCTGTGACTTTTCGACCTCCAACTGGCCCTGGAGGTCTGCTTCGGTGGTCGAGTCGAGGTCCAGAGGCGCTAATGAGGCCATGGTTGCCGAGTTTCCTCGCATGAGTGGAGTGATGGACGGAGAAGCGGACGACCGCACTCCTGGTCTATGGGTCAGATACGTGGCGATGAACATGCGTTGCTGCTCGGGTGTTGGATAGTGGCGGTTGTTGCACGCCCAGGCTCTCTCAGGATCGTGATAGTTATAACACCATTCGCTCTGCATTGAGTCAGCTGAGGCCTTTCAGCGTCGTCGGTCCACACTCACAAAATGGTTCGCAAACTCGAACCCCGGGGTATTTGCCGAAGCATACTCAAAATCAATGACTACCAGTTGCTTGTGCTTGTTTTCAGGCAAAAGAAGCGGCGACTCGGAGCTGGGTTCCATCCGGAGCAGATTGCCATATTGGGTCTGACCTGGTTAGTGAATGAAGTCGAAAACCCGATGCAAATGCTTCAAGGAAGGACCTACATCATTGTGGGCAAAAACCAACTGCCGCTTGATCTCATTAATCCCTCCGCAGCTGGACACAAGCCATTTCCGGTAGTTTTCGACGGCCTTTCTAAAGACGGGCCATGGAACACCACAAACAAAACCGCGACGGCGCCAAGGTTCCGAAGCTGCCTTGGCCTCGTTGTGTTCAGACTGAATTTCCATGTCCAGCCAGTTGATGACTTGCTCGCAGCGATCAACCCACTTGTCCCAGTTCTTGAAGACCACCGGGCCGCCTTCCCTCTCCTCTTCAAGCAGCTCGATCCCCTCGTGCAGCTCGCGCATACGTTTTGCAATCTGCTTCATGGTCTCAGGAACACGTAAGTCCTTGAACGTAAGTGGACGCGCTTCGAAAAACTCCTCGAATCGACCGTTGTTGAACGTCCCCAGTACCTTGGGCCCAATGTTCTTCCGGCCTAAGCGGCGAAGAATCTGCAGCTCGTTCTCTCTGTCGATCAAGTGATCCACTTGCGGACCATAGATACGCAATAGAAGCTTCCTACACGAATCATGTTAGGCACTTATCGGCAGGCAAGGTAAGATAGAAGCGACAGAAGACTTACGGCGGGGGCTTTCGGGGAACAAGAGAATAAGATCCATCTTCGCCCTTAGGCGGAGGTAGTGATTTTGGTGGATTCACCACATACACAGCGTTGGTCAGGGCACCACTCAATCTGATTACCTCAATCTCGCCAGCAAGCTCCTGAGGGAACTTTCGCCAACCTTTGAGTTTTAGCGTAATGGCAAGGCGAACAATCTCGTTCTTGAACGTTGACCAAGCTTCCCTATCCTTCGATCGTCGATCGTCTGCCCTGGTATCACCGTTTTTATCGTCTTCCTCAGTGGTCCCGCCTGTATATGCGAGCGTCTTGGAATTGTCCAGTACTGCATCAACAGCGGGAACTGCCGAGTCAAGATCATACTGATCGGATTCGGATGCAGAGCCTCTCCGCAGACCCTTGATGCGGGACCGCTTGCGGGTTGGTCCCCGTAGGGGATAGACCGACGAGGAGCCCTCAATGCGAGAAGCGGCGTACCGAAGGAGGATTTTTTCAAGCTTGTCGAGAGAAAATGTACTTTCGGAGTCGTGAGATGCGGTCTTATCCAGGATCCCATCGTAGTAATCGTCATCGCCATCACTTTCGACACCCTCACCTGTCCCTTTCAACTTCGACCGGCGGGTTTTTTGTTTGACTTTTTCTTGCTGGAGCCACTCATATACTTGGTTAAATAGGGAATCGTGAGAGTTCTCTTCGCTGATCTTTGCGCCTTGCTCTTTCTCACACTGGCTCCGACATTCGCTTATCACGCTGGGTGTCTGCGATGTATGATGCAATGGGGTTCGAGCAGTGGGTTTCTTGGCCACTGGCGCGCGGTGCTGCTTGGAAGGACTCCCTTCAACAGCCGCAATTGCTGGGCTCGCATGCCCATTCTCGGTGAGAATCTTCTGAAAAGAAGAGATATTAAGGCCAGTTCCCAAAATTGGCTTCTCCCCTTCTAAAAATTGGTCAGATTCCATCATATTTCCTAATAAAAAGTACGGCCAGCGGAAGGAATATTGGTGGTAGATGCATGGAGGTAGTTCATAAAAGCTGCTTTGGGTAGAAGTCGTGACCAGGCTATGCGCTCATGTGATTCGGGACGGTTAAGCGTCGACCGACCAGAAGTACTACTGAGTACCAACTACGAACGGAAAGCCAATTGACAAAGATAAAAGACGTTTATCGGGCCTAAAAAATAAAATCGTACGCAAGGTAGACACCTACCTTCAGTTCCCAGACCAGAGCCGCCGCGCGGGTCGGCGAAGGAGGGCATGTCCGACAGTCCAGGAGGTGGTCGAGAACCCCAGCTCTCGGAAAGACAGGAAGTTGATGAAATGACCAGCAAGAAGTTCGAGAGAGCTGTCACATACAGACAGGAGGCCGGCGACACTCTTGTTTGGGGCGATTGGTTCGAAGATCCTCAAAAAAGTATACTCTCGAGGTTCAAGCAACGTTGGAATGCAGTTTGACCAAAGTAGAGAGACACTTGCGAATCACCCGCTGGAGAGACGGAGAAGGCCAGAGAAGAGTTGGGAAGAAAGAGAATAATAATTAGCGGTCGAGTGGGGAGCCGACAAGAGAAGAGACACGGTTTGATCTTTGGAAGCGGTCGGGAATTATGATCATTCCACAATCCACCGAGTGGATTCTCCTGGTGGGAACCACTTTTTAGAGAAACGGAGTCGCTGCTAGAGAATAATAGACCGAAGATCTAGATTGCTAGAGCAGGCCGAACCCCCTGAACACAAAATATGACGCCAGATTGATAATAATATGGAGGAGAAAAGAGAAATGGTGACGAAATCTGGTTGGGAAGAGGAAAAAGCAAGTGGCGAAAAACCGCCCAAAAGTCGCTTATCAGGGCCAAATAAACTGTTGCCTCAGGTGACTACTTTCCTTTTCCAGGTACCTCGTGAGATGGATACACAAAGTACCAATCTCCAGGAGATCATCGTCTAGACTTGCCTTCCGGAAAGCAGACGAATGGCTTTGCAATGCCATTGTTGGCTTAGTCGAGAGCCAGTGGCTTGCAAGAGACATTATACGTTGGCCTAGCGTGTTGCACACTCGTGACTTGTTCCCCAAAAGTAGGTATCTTTAACCTTCAGCAGGCGTCAGATAAGAACAACGTCAGAATAGAGATAACCTAGCTGTCCGCTATCTCGGATGCTTCCAATGATCTGCAATGCAGATACTGGTAAGTCTAGCTGTATTACCGAATGATTCTGACTGGCGCATTGGGGTTCGTTGCTCTGGGACTCTGGCGTCAAATCCCATGGGGAGAAAATAAGCCTTGACCCCGCAATAAGCTGGTTACGTGAGCGGTCTTAAAACAATCCAGTTGTTCATTATTCATCCATAATCATACTGAGATTTGTCGCATGGGGTTTTGCTTCTGTACGAAAAGCCATAGCAAATGACTGAGCTGCTTGGGGACATCTGGCGTGGTAAGGGACAGGTGGTTGTCGACTGAAGGACAGACAGAGGGAGGGGAAACAAGGGATTATATACGTTTGCGGCCTGAAGAATGCCGGCTTGCAAGGCCCGCCAAGCCAGAATCACGTTCCTTTTATGGCGCAATCACGACTCCAATCACAACAATATAGATAAGTGCGTAGTAGGGAACATGACTCTCATTCGTCCCAATGCTGTGTACTGCAGGCCTCTGACCTAGTCATACCCTTCATGCCGATTCTAGTTATGGTAAGTTACACTCCACACCTTGAAGCCTGACTTTCCTCCTAACCCGACCTCATTTGATCCAGCAGCATACTCCAACGCGTAGCCTTGACCATTGCCAAGGAAGGTGATCTTAACTTGAGCCGCCTGGTCACGGCCGTTGGCTGGTAGAAGGGTACCGCGTGGCCCCAACCATTTACCATCCAGAGCACTGGAGATCAGGAAAAGCCCGCTCTCCTCGCCATTCGAATAGTGGATCACCCATCGCTGTTTCTTATCGCTGTGATCAGGAACGGCGGGACTTATGCTCAGTTGAGTGGCATTGCCGGCGTTTGCGAGTGCATAACCAGCTTTTTCAAACACCAGGTAACGACCTTCGGTCAAGTAGCCAACGCATTCCTTGTACCCGTCCTCGAACCATAGGGCTTCAGAGGTGTCGTTCTGCTGTCCGTACGGGACAGGCGGTCGTTGAACCGGATATTTGGCTTGGCAATTGGATGTACCGACATACGAGTTGCCGACCATGGCGGGCGCATCGGCATTTGGAATATGAGGGATACTGTAATCAGGCTATGAAATCGTCAGTGATATTACCGAAGCAGATTGCACTCCCAGACCTACATGATCCAAATCCAAAGCATTGACAAGGCTGGACATATGTTCCCGACGCCAGTGCACCATCTGGTCGGTCTGAATGTTCTTGTATCCACGAGCGGTCAGCCATTGTTCCAAGAACAGGATCTGTGAGTTGTGGTCTGCTCGCTCGGTGAACACACGGCCGCCCCTGGTCCAGGGAGACACCATATAGAAGGGCACTCGAACACCTATCGAGGTACTAACCATCAGTACGGCCCAGCTTACAATGACACAAGGAGAATTTCTAGCGCACCGGGTCCGACAAAGATCTGTCCGAATTTGCCGTACGGGTCCTCCATCCATTCCCCTGGAGTACCTTCGGGGGAGTGGAAGGGTACGACATGGTCTCCAAAGCCGCCAGACTCTAACGACTGCGTCAATGTCAACCCTTATGATCGAGCGGCTAATGTTTTCATACCATCGTAGCTGACGATCAGCAGTGAGGAGTTATACTTGGGGCTGTTCACGACCGAGTCGACCACCTTCTTTTGAAGCCATGCTCCGTCCTTTGGCATGTATGGGGGATGCTCGGACAGCTCTGCAGGACCAACGATGAAACTGATTTCTGGGAGTGTTCCGTTTGCGGCTGCTTCATAGAACGCCTCCAGTCCTAAGTACGCTATCCCTTTTTGCGCCAGAGGCGAGGAAGCGGACGCTTTCTGATACTGCTCAAACCATGCCAGAGGGTTGTCGTCAAAGTTGTTATCATCCTGATACACTTGCCAAGAGACACCAGCCTCTTCATAAAACTCGAAGATGGTCTTCCACTTGAGAGGATAACAGTTGATATTGTTCTTATCGCAGCCTGTTGAACCGATCCCGTCAGTTTGAAGAACAACACTTATGATCATACTTCTTACCGGGAGTCTCGTTATTGTCCAAATAAGGTCCACCCTGGTCAGAGCTCTGCGGACTTCCAGGTATATTTACGGAGCCGCTGACCAATGTAGCACGGTTCGGGTTGGTGGATGTGATCTGAGCTTCCTGACTTGGTGTCAATACTTGGTGGAGTGTACCTGCGAAGAAGAGTTCGAACCTGATACATGTCACCTGCCGTCCAGCCCTCAGCAATCGCAAAATGAACAGGGATGTCGCTCCTCTTGAGGTATCCCCAGCTCCATGGCGTATTGTTACGGGCCCAATGATTGTTCAGGCCATGATTGAGCGCGGCCTGGTTATCAGTATAACCATTATCTCCCGCTACCATGCACTGAATTGCATCGGGCCAAGATCCACCTCGATAGCCTAGATGCCAGGGAAGGAGTGTTTTGGCGTTAGTGGACATGCTGGGGTCGACTTGCCTGAAGAAACATGCGTCAGCTATTTTCTTGCCAGTGACAGCCCTTGATCAGCTTGTGATACTCACTGATACCAGACTGGTAAACCATCTGGGTTGACCTGCACGTTGGGGTCATTGAACCCCCGGACTCCTGCCATCGTGCCAAAGTACTGTGTTTATCAATGAGCGCTTTACCCCAGGATGGAGATGTAGCTGCCAAGAACATACGTTGTTCCATGACCTGTTTTCCTGCATGAAAATAACAACATGCTCAATGTCCTTCAAAGAGCCGGCAATGGCAGGCTGACTCAAGAAGAGCACGGCCAGGGCAGCACCAGTGAATAGCGACATTTTCGCCCTCAGTATTCAGTTCAAAACTTAGTGCTGGACAAGTCAGAATGGCCAGCAAGAAAGCAAGGAGGACTTGCTATCAATTGCCGGACGAAGGATCAATTTATCCGACCTTTGTGGCCCATTGAGCGATCTTTTCGCAACGTCTGTATACATTACCGTTGCATCCTGGTTTAAATAGGTTACAATCTTGCATATGTTATTCAATTCCAGAGGCCGAGGGATCATGAAAAGCACCAAATCGTGGTAAGCATCTGAAACATTCGAAATTACATGCGACAATCACCAAACATGATTTGATCATCGCGTAGACTTCGGCAACTAGCACGGCGCCTTTTTAGCTTGATTTCCCATCAAGTTTGCAGCAAGCGATATTGAGGAAACTTTGACAGGCTTGCAGCAGACGATAAGTGATGCATGGGTGGAGATGAAGTTTTGGATCGCTTCCATCAGTCGTCCCATAAGGCGTTCCTCGCGAGCACGTGTGGCCGAATGTAGTTCCTGCTGGATGCCTGAGGATGGAACCACCCCTGAGGAAAATGGAGATCATCAATATGCAATGTAACCCCTCGCTTGTTGCCGAGATCCCGGGCGAGACGAGGGGAAACTGCAACATAGTTTCATATGGCGGATTGGAGAAATAATTGTTCTCAAATGAACGATTCTTCTGAAGTTGAAAGACGATGGGGGAACTGCGCGGTTGTTGCGGAGAGACCTCCTTGAGCAAGGACCACGTAGAGTCGGAGGAGCTATTACCAGTGTCGCAGCAGTATCAGAGATCCTGTGACGAGTGCACATCAACAAAATCAAGGAATTGGTCCTATGGGTTAGTCCTATGGCCATTGGCTGCATGTGTCTTGATCGCGCTAGCATATCTCCAGCAAATCTCCACGCCGAACGCTTGGGTTTCGTTACCAGGCCTATCACAAACCCATGGCCATCCAAAACTAAGTGACCCCGATGCGTTGCGTCCGATGATAGAGCTCCATCCTGAGGATCACATATACCGTGGAGCGACGACGCAGCATCTTGAGTGGGTGGTCACTGCAAAGTACTTACGTCCTGATGGGGTACTTAAACGAGTCTATTGCATCAATGGTGAAGATCTATTGACTTGCCACATTGGAACGGTCTTGCTGATGCATAGTATGACAGGATTATTCCCTGGACCAACGATCGAAGCACGCTCGGGCGATACTCTCGTCATAACCCTCATTAACAGGCTTGAAGATGAGTCGATCTCCATCCATTGGCATGGTTTGCATGTGCAAAGTACGTGCTTGAGTCAATCCGGTATCTTGCTGTATCCAATCACTAATTATATCTTCCAGGCTCAATGGACGGTGCGGCTGGAGTCTCGCAATGTCCAATCGCTCCAGGGTCCAAATTCATCTATAACCTCACCGTTCCTGAGAACCAGAGCGGGACGTTTTGGTACCATGCTCATTCCGGTGTGGCCAGAGCAGATGGGCTTTATGGAGGCTTTGTAGTGCATGCGCCCTCCGTAAATCTTACAGTCCGTGACCTCATGGCCGAGGAGAAAGTAAATCACCGAGATGTCTACGGCAAGGACTTGTTGCTTCTGATTGGTGACTGGTATCATCAACCAGCTTCTCAAGTTCTAGACTGGTATATGCGCGCTGGATCATTTGGCAATGAGGTCAGTAGGCCAAATAGATCTGGTTGCCGTGCTAACTGCAACACAGCCGGTCCCAGACTCGCTATTAATCAACGGCGTGGGCCATTTCAACTGCTCCATGGCCGTACCTGCACGACCGGTGGACTGCGTCGACCATTATATCGATTTGTCATATCTGGATTTTGACGATGGCTTGCCCTACAGAATACGGGTGGTCAACACAGGGCAGGTGGAAAAAGCGTCTCTCTTTGATCAGATGCTAACCTACCAACAGGTCCTTGGCAGGCTTTACCCTCAGTTTCGCCGACAGCGTTTTCGATCTTATTCAACTCGATAGCAACGATGTCGAACCCCAGTCACAAGCCAGTTCGGCCGGGGTGCTCTACCCCGGACAACGTATGGACGCAATCCTTATGCCTTTATCGGGACGTACCACACATGATCAGAAATCCATGACTATCAAACTCGATGAGGAGTAAGCCAGACCCGATATCGATATCCCAAATATACAACATGACCTAACATAAAGTATAGGAACCTCAGATACCTCAATCCAGCTCTGAGTGCAGAGCAGACATTTTCCACCTCCACGGGCAAAACCACCAGACCCCAGGCAGACAGCTCCAACTCCAAGCTGTATCCAAAACTCAATCTCGAGACTGTACCGTCTTCACGAGCCGTCCTTTCCTCACTCCCCAAGCACGCCAACCAGACTCACGTCGTATACACCAAGATCCAGAAACTCTCCAAAAACCACAATGTCCCTTACGCCTTCTTCAACCGCACCTCGTGGAAACCGCAAAGCAACCCTTCAACACCCCTCCTCTACCTACCCCGCGACAAATGGGATGAAAACCAACTCTCTATCGCTACAGGGCTCGACCTGGTGTGGGTAGACCTGGTGGTGAATAACCTCGACGAAGGGTCTCACCCTTTTCACCTTGTATGAAATCCCTCCCATCCCAGTTACACGACAGAACAGAAGCTGACAATCCCAGCACGGCCACCACTTCTACGTTCTACAAGTCTATAAAGCTCCCATAGGCTGGGGTTCCTATAACCCATTCACCGACGCGCATCCGCCAGGTTTAGAGCCTGTCGATAGCGCCAATGCCACCAACAACGGGCTTAGGGATGCTTCGCCATACGACCTCTCCCGTGCAGTACTGCGCGACACGGTTCAGATCCCCAGCCGCGGGTATGCGGTTCTACGCTTCCGGGCAGAGAATCCAGGGGTGTGGTTGTTCCATTGTCATATTGTATGGCATTTGGCCAATGGCATGGCGATGGTGGTGGATGTTATGCGTGACGAAACAGTAGACGGTGTTTTCTCGAGTGGACAGGAGTGTACGGGCTTCCTAAAGTATGCATGATTAGTAGGTAACTGTTGAGATCCAGTGCGAAAGACACCTTCCCGTTCGCGAAGCGATAGAGCAACCGGCTGCCGATGGAATCGATTCCTTGAAGAGTTCCATTTGCGGCTGTTTATAACCCTTACCAGAATACAATAAACGGTACAGTTCCCGTCCGCAGAGGAAGGGATCAGAGAATGGTTAGATGGTCTTCTCCCCAGTGCTCGGATGAAATCCCAATGTTTCAATGCTCTCTCCGTCAGGGCTTGCTTTGTGGATTCCGCATTTGCATCACTCTTCGTTCTATCAGAGGCTCCCTTCGCTTTAAACGGAAAATCGACAGGTATAGTGCTTCATTGCCTTATCATGTCATGAAGTGAATGGGTTGGCAGAGAAGGGTAATGATTGCCAAGAGTGATGAGATCAGACATGCAGCTCTTTGTAGCAGAGAAGTGTACAGCTAAGTAGTGTAGGCTTGACGAAGCATCTGAGGTGCAAGAGCTAGCTTTTGATGAAGCTTCCTAAGAAATTTACCTAGCCATCCGATATTGGTATCACCTGTCCATCTCCCATTCTGGGTAATCAGATAAAACCGTCAACCGACCGCCTGTCGATGGTAAGACATCGAAAGAAAGAAACAGATCATAACACCAGACACCAAGCCGTAAGAATAGCACATAAAAGTACACTAATCGTAATCATAAAATCCATTTAGGTTGAAGCGGAAGTCCACTCAACGACCTCCAACGCACACATGACAAGTATGAGAGTCGAAGGGAGAATCCTAGGATCTGTTAGTGTGCGAACCTTGAGCTTGAGCATGCAAGCAAACTTACCAAACAACATAGCTCTGGAACAGAAGCTTCGACATGGCAGAGACGTATACATTATTGATCTGGCAGATTTGTGCCAGTTGCAGAGCTGATGGAGCTCCAGTAAGCAAGAAGCAGACGATTATGAAGATCGGATCGCCCAGGATACTAATAGGGACGTGTTTAGCGAGCAGAGCAAGGAGAGGGGCCATGATCAAGGTTGGTAGGAGCATCCGTGCCACGAGGGAGGCAATAATGAGCTTCTTCTCTTCCTTGGGATGACCAATGTCTTCGAGCGCTTCTTGGGACAAAGTGTTTCGTGCGAGATTGGCTCCTAGGACGACCAGGATCAAGGGTACAGCAACTTGAGCATTCTGGTTGATAGCTCGAGTGACCGAATTGTTCACGAAAGTATCCTCGTCGAAGAACAAGTGCTGTAGGGACGGCACGGATGCCACGATAATCGACACAAGCATAGCCCACAGAGGAGGATTCATGAAGTCCCATAGGCCATGGAGAAACCATTTAATACCGCGAGCAGAAAGAGACAAGGGTTTCTGTACACTGCTCGGAAGTCGACTGTACACTGCGTTTGTGCTTTTCTCCCAGCCTCTCGCGATACAGGTTGTCATGCGACTACGACGTTGCCCCAGATACTCCTTGACTCGTATGAACGGTCCCTTTTTGTGCTGGTGACCTTCATGCGACAACTCAACATTCGGAAACAAAAGGATGTGGCCTCCAGTACTTTGGCGCGGAAGGAATGGTCCGCTGGGGGGAGGCCCGATCAGGGAAGAGCGGTGATCTGATTCATGGTTCACTTGGCCATGAGTGGGTAGCTTCGTATAGGAATACGTCTGAGCTGTCACGGGGGTCTGTTCACCGGACCTGAACTCTTCCGTGTCGCCGGAAGAGCTCGCTGCACGGTGGGTACAACTATCGGAGCTTCGAGTTCTGATGAGTGGCTCATCTGGGTCCGTCTGGTTCGGGTTGTCGCTGTAGCATTCCTGCCCTTGCTCAATTCGGGTGGCACCATCTTCCCTATCCGCCTCTTCCAGGTATCGTTCCTTCGGAGCAAGAAGAACATGATAGCCCCAACTCCAGCGCACGAGCTGACCTAATTGCTGGAATATGAGGAGGTATAGAATTCCACGGGCAGCCACTTCGTCATCGTTGTCATTAGGGACTTTGCTCCAG